AAAAAAAAAAATAAAAAAAAAAATAAACACATCATGGTAAAATTAATACCTTCTCAGCTTCGCATCGAAGCTAAAAAATAATAAAAAAATAAACACATATCATAGTAAAACGAATACATTCTCAGCTTCGCATCGAAGCTAAAAATATAATATTAATTATAGAATTATATTATTAATGAAACTATGTTAAATAGGATTTTTTAAATAAAAGATTTAGGTATTATATTATCAAGTGTTTGATAATGTAATACCTAATTATCTATTGTTTAAGGATAAATATTTTATATAAATAATAAAGCTCTTAGAGTACCTGGGGTTTTAAAACAAAATTGTATAGAATTTAAAGACTCAAAATATTTAACTGTATTGGATTGTTCCCTTGTTATATCTATAATTGAGAACGTGTTTGTTATTTGGAGTCCTTACCTTTCTTATCAAATAATAAGACTCGATAAAATTCAAAACAGATTCTTATATTTTTAAAGACATAAGCTAAGAAATATTATATTAAGTTAGAATACATAGAAACGGAAGTAAAACTGAATTCTCTTATAATGAGAAGATTTAATAATGATTTCTTATATTAATATAAATTATTGAATAGTGATATTGATTGCCCAGAAATAACTGTTCAAGTATTATTAAATAACAATGTATATTAGGAGTTCACTATTTTTATATTTTCAAATGAAAAATAAGTATAATATGCATACTCTTCTTAATCGATTATTTTCTATATCAATAACTTAGTTAAATTTTTTTAAATTTTAAATTAGCATTTTAAAATTCAAATATTGTGGGATCAAATTTTTGTCAGTTTAATCGATTCAGCTATAAGTTAATTATATAATTTTTTTTCTACCTGATAAAACTTTGCCATTCCTTGTATAATAGAAGAATAATGATATGCATTGGGATTTTGAAAAGATGAAAACAATGTGTTTGCAAAACCATTTAACCTGAAATATAAATCATAAAAATTTATTAATAAAAACTAATCTTTCATGAAAAAAATAAACAAACATTTTTTTTGCTACGAATGAAAGTTAATTTTAACATTAACGTTTAAACAATTTTAAAAAAATGTTAAGTGTGACTCTCTATTGTAAATATTTTATAAAAATTTTTTTAAAAAAATTGAATATATTATCAATTATATTTTAACTTCAATGCGTAGTTGAGAAGCTATTGGTTTTACTCTGCTGTTTATAAATATTAGTATAAATAATAAATTTTGAGTATATATTAGCTTCGACGCGAAGCTGAGAAGATATTAATTTTACTATGATGTGTTTGTACTTAAAACTGCCATAACTTTTTCAAATATTAACAAATCAAAATAATATTTTTTTATATTGAAACCTTAGATATTTCCCTTTCATTTTATATCATTTTTTTTTGATAATATAACACTTATTCTGCTCACAGGGGGGATTTAAAATATCAACTTTTTTACAAAAACTAAATTTTTCTACTTAACTTTTCAAAATGTTCCGGAAATACTGCGTCCTTTAAACATATGTCAAATTAAAGCTTATGTCATGTACTATAAAATTAAAAAAAAAAATTTGAAAACAAATTAAAAAACAAAATCAATAAATGTTTATCAAACAAAAAACCAGTTGGGATGAAAAGTTTAGATTTATAAAAAGGATTGAAAATCAATGCAAAAACAAAAACAAAAATAATGGAATTTTTTAACATAATATTGATGCTGAATTATTTACTATCGAAAAAGTAAATAAACTTAGTTATTTAGGAATACTAAAAATGACTGATCGAAGAAGGTAGGATTAAAAATATCAAAGGCTGAAAAATGTCTAAATGAGTTTTTATAATCAAATTTGTTTCCAAAAAAGAAAAACAAAGTGATACTTTATATGTCTATTGTAAAACCTACACTTATCTACGACTATGATGCAAGGTTGACTTAACAACACTACTGAAAGAAACCCAAGACTTTGAAAATAATGTTTAAAATACAATATTTCTAAAGGATTAGATTAGGATTATTTTACAAATTCAAATCAACATGTTAGAAAGTTATTATGTATTAAAACTAACTAGTTAGTGCTCAGATTTGCTTACAACAACACTTGGAAACAACTGCCTATATGATGCTCTCACAATGAGGAGCATCTGTAGAAAACATTATACAACAGGTAATAAGTAGTGATTTATACAACACCTATCCTGTTAAAACTTGAATATTAATCATAACTATTCAATAGTACTCAAAAAAATGTTCTTAAATTAATTATCACAGAACAAAATACTAGACTGTGCTTTGCCATAGAAGCATTCAGATCTAGCCCAATAACATGGAGTCTTAAACCACTTATTAGGAAAACAACACATTAAAATTTGGTATCAAATTAAAATTCAATAATAACCTATCAAACAGCTACATCCAAAAAACTATTACAGAAAACAAAATGAGTACATTAGTAATCATTACTAAAGCAGATAAAATCAATCTTCCATGGACAGATGAAATACAAACCAACACTCACTTGCACTCACTATCAAAAGTTCCAACACTTGCCATTATATTCAAATAAGGAATCAATTTATTATTTCATGGAATTAATAAATAATCACACAAATAAAGAACATTTTTAGATTGATGAATCTAGGACAGCTGAAGGCGTTAGAGCAGTTTAATCTCAAAAACCGTTCTGATAGCTCATAGATTACCAGATAACTGCTCAACTTATACTGCTATTTCATGAAATTTTCACTGCTCATAAACAAATTCAATTACATAATCCCACTAGAATAAGGAGCTCCTTAAGTACAATAAAAATTTACCAATTAAACATGTTATCATAGAGTTAAAAAATACAACCATTAAAAATTTAAACACCAAATGCAAATCTTATGAAAAATTCTCAAGCCAGTCACAACATTACTAAAAATTCATTATAAAAAAAACTTTAATCTAATTACTAACTGTACTATAAATATTTCCTATATATAATAGGCATAATTGTTGGACCTTTATTTTGTAAATGAAAAATAAATATTCTAATAAATATAAATAATCATACTTCCAAGTATTTCTTAATGTTTCTCGTTCTTGATTAGCCTGTGTATACCACCTTTCTTCAATCCAATTTTCTTCTATAACATCTTGACTATTATAGAAACAAACTAGTTCAAGAAGGGACTGTTTTGTATCAATATTTAATTCTAAAAAAATTATATGTTTCATTCAAAATGCTTATATATTATAAAGTTCTAATAAAACCTTTATTTTTATTTTTTAATAAACTGTAAATAGTTAAAGCATCAGATACATTTCCTAAATTTATTACTTTTTTCAAATCATTTTCATTCACATCATATTCTTCATTATAAATAACTTTTGGATAAAATTTCTAAATAAAAAACAAAGAAAATTAAGTTTCAAAGTATATTGTCATAACTATCAAAATTAAAAGTTTAAGTCCAATACACTAATATACAGTGACGAGCAAAAGTGAACACAATTTCCAACATTTTTGGAAAATTGGCATTTGTAAAACTAAATATAAATTCAATTTAATAAATTTTTGAATCCACATTCTAGTGATTAAAACAAAAGTTTACGCACAAAAAATAATTTAGAAAAAGATAAAAGGCCTAAGAGTTCATTTATTTAAAAATACTCACTTATGCACCTGCTAAGTGTCTTTGACTTGTTATTATTGGGGCGTCTGAAGAAAAGAGATTTTTCACTCTTGATTTGTTTACATTTCTTTCTATTACAAAGAAAATATGAAACTTCTATTTTAATCAGTATGAACCATTCTTTCGTAGTGAAAGGAACCAACATGAAAATTACTCCTCAAAAAATGACACAAATTGTTTCGATGCTAAAATCGGGTCAGTCAACCAGAGAAGTGGCTCGACAGTGTGGCGTCAGTCAAGCGGCAGTGCAAAAAATAAAAGTTGTCCTAACGCTTCACTCCGACTAAAAGGAAGACCTAAGTGTACTACCCCATAAGATTGACGAAGACTTGCTCACTTTTTACAAGCAGGAGAAGCATCTTCATCTTCAATAGTAACCAATCTATTGCAACAACACAAGGGGAAAAAAGTGAGCAAGTGGACAGCATTGAGAGTTCTCAAGGAACAAAATTTTGTGTGCCAAAAAAAAGAAAAAACCCGCAATTTCCAAAAAAAATATGAAGGCCAGGCTAAAGTTGGCTAAAGATCATAAACACTGGACAGAACAAGACAGGAGGAGGATAATATGGTCGGATGAAACCAAAATTAATATATACTGCTCTGACGGAAGGTCCTGGTTCTGGAAAAAGACTAGCGAGAGCCTCAAATCTTCCTATGTCAAACAGACGATCAAGCATGGTGGAGGATCTGTCATGCTATGGGGCTGTTTTACTGAGTATGGACCTGGACCCATTCATAAAATTATATTTACTATGGATCAATATATGTATAAAAATATTCTATCAAGAAATTTGTCAGGTGTGGTTGCAAAAATGCCAATACCAAACGATGAAGTCATTTTCCGACAGGATAATGACCCCAAACATACGGCGAAATCCGTCAAACAATGGCTTTTCAATCAACAATTTAAAACTAGGGACTGGCCAGCTCAAAGTCCTGACCTGAACCCAATAGAGAATTTTTGGGCATATTTAAAAGGAAAATTGTATAGTAAGTATCACAGTCCACCTACTTCACTCGACTATTTGTGGGAAAGAATTAGAGAATGGGCAAAAATTGATGTAAACTACTACAAGTCATTGGTCAACAGCATGCCACGAAGGATGGAAGCAGTGATAAAGACTAAAGGCTTGTAGACAAAATATTAATGACAGAATATATCTATAATAAATACCGGTGTAAAAGTGAGTACTTTTAAAAATTTGTTATCTAGTAACTCGCTGCTTAATGTATGTATTTTTTCATCTAATACTCTTAAATTTTGTTTTCTAAATACATATACATTTTTGAATAATTTAAAACGTATGTGTTATTATTTTGTAACCTTTTTTCTCAGAATTTTCTCATTAGTGTTCACTTTTGCTTGTCACTGTAGTAACCCAAAAATGATTTCTATAAATAATACTAATTCTCCATAGTGTTCTTGAAAAAAATCTTTTATGAAATAAAAGAAAAAATGAAATAAATGTATTTATTAAGCTTCAAAATACAATTTAATTTAAAAAAATTTGCATAATAAAAATTATAAATCATAGAGAGTGAGTCATGAAGCTAATAAATCTAATAATTTTTGATTTAGAAGAAATTTTATTGATATTAATACTTTATTTTTAGACTTTTAGTCTAAAGTTTTTGCATAGTAAAAAATTTGCATGATATAATAATTTTTTTTATAAAATTATGTTAATTGTTAAAAAAAAAACCAGAATAACCATTTTGTAGTACAGAGAGCATTTTAAATTATGTAAAAATTTGTTTTTTATGTAATATTTTACTAAATCTATCGATAGTCATATTATGAAGAAAATAATAAAAATATGTAAAATATTTTTGCTTTAAATGTTGGTTGTAGGCACTCATTTTTCAATAAAAATTATCATTGAATAAATGCTTATTCCTAAGTAAAAAAATGAATAGTATTACATAGTTTTTAACTTATCATATGTTAGAAATCTAGTTTATGATCTTTATTTGTGAGTGTTTTATTATTTTAATTACTGAATCAATATAATGAGTCAATTTGTACCAATTAATAATAATTCACAAAAATATAATTTGCAAATATTAAGCCCTAAATTTTCTCAATGTAGTTTATTAATTAATAGATTTTTTTTTAACAATTTAAGTACTTTCTATTTTTTAATTTGTTAAATATTATTTTATTTTAATACTATTATAATGAGTTTTGAAATATTCATTTTGATGGATATTATAATAAAATAATTACTCATTGAAGTGAAACTTCTTTATAGAGGCTCCAAAAAAAAAAAATAGATTATCGAGTATCATGGTTGGCTGTAATTTTTTGCTACTACAATCGGCATAACTGTCAGCCATGTTTGGCTGTAAAGTATATTTTATATTACAGTTTAGCACTGTATTTTCTAAAATTAAAGTAATTTTATTTAAAATATATTAAATAATTTAATTTCAAATAATTTTGATTGTGTATAAAAAAATTTTTAAGAACCACAATAGATACAATTTTTACACAATATCTTCATAACGAAAAAAGTTTCACTTCATCTGCGAGTACTCGTAACACGCACTTGTTTTTTATTTAATTATATCATAACAATTGATAATTAATTTGGTTAAACAATTTAGTCAGGTTTTTTCTTTAGTTTGAGTTCTTTAAAAATAATGAAAACATTTATAAATTAATAATCCAATAACATCAATTATTTGGCTAGTACAAACAGTGTGTAACACAAAATCAATTAAGTTAACATAAATTTTATTCAGTAAAATTAACAGTGCTCTTTTAAGCAATGATAATTTTTATGGAAAAAATTATTGCACATAATGAAAATTTCATGTGAAAATATTTCACACTCCTAACCTTTTTTTCATAACAAAATTATCATTTGATACTGACAAAAATATATATTTATCAACTTGAAAGTGCTCTTAAACAACAGAATATTAATAAGAAATTTTGAGACTAAATTATTTTGGTTATACATTTAAACATTTATAGAATGTATAATTTTATTTTAATATTAAATAAATATTTTATCAATTTTAGTTTTAACTACATACATTATCAGGAATAGATAGATCCCTAATTGGCATCCAGTTAATTAATAAATTTTGTATTTAATTCTATAAAAAAAATCCTGCACATTAGGGAATTCTTGTGAAAAATAAAAAAACAAAAAAATATTTTTTTCTTCAAAAAACTAATTATAAATTAAAAATAATAAAAATTTAGTATAAAATTTTAAGTAGCTGGGTTTAATATAAAATATTAATTAGATATGATTTATTATCATACTTTAAGTATCCTAGGAATAAAGTGCATGCATTAGTAAACTAGATTATGAAATTATTATTTTCCTATTACCATGCAAATGATTTGAATTCAATATTTTTTCCAAATAAATTCTTACTTTTGAATAATACGATATATAGTATTCTATTTAATGTCAATGAATCATTTTTTACCTCTATTGGAGGATTAGATACTTTATGGTCAAATAGATCTGCATGTTGTTCTCGTATCCAGTTGGCTGCTTTTCTACCAGACTCTTGACTGAGAGCATAAGCTCGTTTTTGAAAATTTGAAACTGGAATAAGGTAAGGATCATCATGATACTTAAAATGAGCAGCAGTAGGATCTCTTTGGATAGTATAAGAAATAGCCTAAAAAACCCATTAACAATTAAATAGTACACATGTAGACAGAAATATATCAATGCGATGGTAAATATTAACTTTTAACAAATCAGTAGAACTTCTTTCAATCTTAATTGGAATTTCAATGCAATTTGTATTATACGTTGATTTTTTTCTAGAAGTTGAAGAAAAATATCGAATTAGTCGCGCCATCGCAAAGGAAATTATTATAACATACAGAATATCATATCAGAACCCGGTAACAAATTTACATAGATTAAATAAACTAGAATGGTAACTGATAACAAATAATATTACTAACAAAGAGGATAATCATTAATTAATAAAAATTGATCATTTAAGGATAATATTATTTTAAATTAAAGTTATAATAAAAATATTATTAATTTAAAACTAAGAAATATTAAAAATATTTTCTCAAAATGCCACAAAAAAATTACTAAAAAATAGCGGATAGCATTTTGGGAACATGGTTACCTTTATTAACGCTAAACACATACTGACATTAGTCATGTTATTATGGCTTAAGTAAGAAACACAATATATATAGTAAATGGCAGTGTTGAGAAGGAACTGATTCCAAAAGGAACGGATTCCTGGAACGAGTTCTTTTTGAAGGAACGATGCTAGGAACTGCTTCCTTTTAAAATAAAGGAACGAGGAAAATGAACAAATTCCATTTTTTAAGGATCGTGAACGGAAATTACAGTTCCTAAACATTTTTATAAACATGTTTTAGTGTAGTTTTCTTCGTATCTAGACATTAAAATATTAAGGTATTTTTAGTTGACTTTTGACAATGGAAGTCCTCTATATACCCAGCCGAGATCATAGGCTGTTTAAATGAATCAATTGACTATAAATAGAGTTATTATCACATGTAGGTATACAGTAAATATTTAATATATGTGTACATATATTAAATAATGCACCGAATATTATCGTCGTTTCTTGTTAACTAATATATGTTAAAGGTTTTGGGTTTTCTGATTTATTATTTCTAACTTATATGTAGACAATAGACATTGGTAGCGTTGACACAAGTCGTTAGCATTTACTACCTGCTTATAAATATAATTTTTGAATACTTTTAGATAAGGAATAATACAAATTTGTTTTGTATTCGACTGCTGATGAAAATCATTGATGACCGTTATCATTATCTCATTGCCACAATTTATTAAATAACTTTGTTACATAAAAGGAACGAAGAGTGGAACGAGTTCTTATTTTGGAGGAACTGGATCTGGAACAAGTTCCTTCTTAATATAAAGAACTAGGATTTAGAACGAGTTCATATTTTAGAAAATGAACGAGGAACAGAACGAGTTCCATTTAAAAAGGAACTTTCCCAACACTGGTAAATGGTAATACCATTATGGTATATTAGTGGAATACAGGCGAGGAAATAAATTTCATTATGAGTTAATAGCAAAATTTAATTAACTTCTGTCAGGAAAAGGCAAATCTGTAAACAGTGTTTAATTAAAAAATAATAATGGATTATTCCAAAAGCAACATGATCTTCTATTTCCTTATTTATATCCTGATTAATGGCTCTTAAGAGGGGACGGCCTAAAAGACGGACCGTCCGCCACGGACTTCCAAAAACTTCCAGAAATTTCCAATATATTCCAAAAAGTTCCAGAAAATTATATTACACATAATATGATTTGGTGGGAATATATTATGGTTGGGGTGGGTTAATTATATATATTTAAATACGGTAGATATATTATAACAACTACCGATGGCATATAGCCATTACCCGTCCGCTGCGGCGTGTTCGCCTCACTGTCGCATGACAACAATCTTCCATGCCCCTAAAATGCGCTCAAATAACATTAAGTGAAATCTACACGTATTTATACAGGTATAGAATTAAGCGTTTAGTCTCATCTACAAATAAACGTAGTTAATTAATAACACTAATGAACCCATGTTCTCACTGTTATTTTTACGTCAAAAATTGTATATATTAATTAATATATAAAATATGATATATATAATTATATATATAAAAATACGGTAGCTATATTATAATAACTACCGACGTATATACTAATGACCGTCTGCTACGCCTTATCCGTCTTGTCGTCCGACTTCCACTTTGGAATTGCTTGTATATTGCAATATAATAATAATTACCAATGCATAAGCCACTGTCCGTCCGCTGCAGCGTGTTTGCATTGCCGTCCGACCTTCTCGAAATTTCTATTTGAAGCTACCTGTGAGTTAAATTCTTTTCGCTGCTTTACTACCCGTCTAGTAATATTTACTGTATGTTTTCCCCATTAAGACTGTTACATCTCTATCTACAGATTTTTATTATCTTCTTTTTACACACGTTGTTCAAAAGTTATGTGTGTAGGCCGGTCAAGCTCCACGTAGCTTGAAATCGCATTACCCCTCTCATTGTAATGATAACAACGTGTCCGGCACTACCGGCACCTTGCTGTCCTTACGTTTGTGTTCGCGGTTGACGTTATATCGAACCGTTGAGTCCAATGACTCGTAGCCAGTGAGCTGGCATAATTTTCTTTTGTTGGGTTTGTGTCAGCCTGTATAGGCGAAGCCCTAACGTACGGTTACTAAAGACTCAATCCATATTTGGAGTTGGTGTCCTTAGCATCCACACACCGGTGGTGTTTCCTTTTCTGTGGTTCGTCGAGTTAGTGCGTCTTCTCACTATAAAATTAATCGTGGCACTCAGGATTGTTGGCGTCAGCCAAAAGGTATTTGTTGTGGAGATCTCAAAACATTGCGATATCACGCGGCGAAAGAAGTGTCAAGTGGCAGGGTGATGTTACTCCTTTTTTAGCTTCGATGCGAAGCTGAGAAGGTATTGGTTTTACTATGATGTGTTTTTTTTTTTTTTTTTGTGTCTGTTACCACTTTTTCTCAGCTCTCACCGAACCGATTTCTTTCAATGATATGTCAAAAGATCACAAATCGTATCTAGACGAAGACATTACCCTCAAAAATTGAAAAAAATTCCCTCGTTCCCCGTAAATGGGGGAAACCTCCAAAAAAATTACAAATTTAAAAATCACTAATTTTCGAAATTTTTACAATTTTTTTTACTAAAAACTGCCGTAACTTTTTTAAAAATAAACATATCAATATAAATCTTTTTTTATAGATGCATGATGTCATTACGTATCATTTGGTATATTTTTTTTATAAATCTGACTTTTTACCTGCCCACAGGGGGGGATTTAAAATAACAACTTTTTTTACAAAAAATTTATTTTTTCAACTTAACTTTTGAAAGTGTTCCGGAAAGTCTGACACTTTTTTTATATCTTAAATTAAAGCTAATGTAATCTACTTTATTATGTAAAAAAAACATTTCGGACTTTATTTTGTCTTCACGGTGAAAATGGCTACCAAATGTTATTATTGTGTGAAAATTTTCGATTTTGTANAAATGCTATTTTTGTGTGAAAATTTTCGATTTTGTATTTTACATTTTTAACTTTATTATGCTATAACTTTTTGAAAAATGTATGGATCAATATAATTTTTTTATGAGAAATAATATTTTTTAATAATCCATTTTTCATTCGGCATACTTTATCTTAATCAGGATATTAATAAAGAACTAGCAGATCATGTTGCTTTTGGTATAATCCACCAATTTTTTAAAATTATACACTATCTAAAGATTTGCATCGTAACGTTTTTTTTGATAGTGATTTTAATCACTGTCAGATATCATAATACTTATCCAACTATGCCACGTCACCACTGTGCCGTGATCCCCCTGTGCTGGGTTTTTTTTTATATAGATGCATGTCTTTATCTATCATTTGGTTTTTTTTTATATAAATCTAACCCTTTACCTGCCCACAAGAGGGATCCAAAATAATAACTTTTTTTTTTTTAGTTAAAGTAAATCATTAAAATTAATTCAGTTCTGGATATTTCAATAGTAGAATCTTATTAAATACCAAAAATTACTAATAAATGATTACTATGATTTCTATTTAAGTGTTCTATTACAATAAAAATGCAAAAAATAATGAGTTTTTCTGATAAATGTACTGTAAATAGTAATTATAAAATTTCCTGACTGCATATTAATCTTAAAAATAACATTGTTTTAATTCTCATAAAATTTTCTATTTAATAATTTATTCTAGTCTACGAAGGAGTAATTTTGGCGAATAACAGAAAAAATTCCCAACCAAATTTTTTTTTTTTTTTAAGTAGGAAATTGGTGGATTATTCCAAAAGCAACATCAACTCTTATTTCTTTAATTATATCCTGATTAGTAGTTCTTTGATTTTTAAATATAATATATACTAATTATATTTATTAAATTTAGTATGAAATTTATATTCAATAATTTAATATTTTAATTTAAACGGAGAAATTATAAAAATAATAAAGAAGTTATATTTTGCTTTACTTTTACGTGTATAAAAATTTAAAGGGCTTGATACAATAATTTTCAATAAAAAAAGTTTGTTACTATAAAAAAATGCACTGGACTACAAGATACTTTCATCAGAAGCAAAAATATACTTTTCTAAATCGTCTTTTCGCGTTGTTTTCAAATGTGCAAGTAGAATTTTTCTATCACTTCTAATTTTTTATATTATTACTAATTATATATAAAATAATAATTAAAAGAAAAAAATAATTTGTTTTCAAATTATTACTGATTTTGTATGGTACAGAATTCCTTTAGAAGGATCTAGTTGACCAGTTGTTATAAAGATCATTGATTATATTATTTCCATATATATATATATATATATATGCATATATATATATAGCTAATCACCAGCATCTTGCTTTACTCACCCCCTTGCCCATCCATCACAGCAAATCGAAGACCTCCGTGTCGTTTTTCATCTATGTACAGTTCATTTGTCATAAGTCAGTAAGTTTTTTTTGTTTTTTTTTTTACGTGTCTCTCCTGTTCTGTTGCAAACGCCTTCGCTTGAATAACAATGTTGCGTACGAGGCAGCTAGACCGTAGGACGGCTAGTTGTGCACCGCTCTAGAATGCCGTTTTACTTTAAGCCTGTTTAAAAAAGCGTTAATAATGATGTGAGAGTAGGTCACCTAGGATATGACGGCTATACATCCAATAAGTAAACGAGAGTAGACAATAATTAAATAACAAATAATCACATATATTAGAAATTCCTCAGAGAATATCTTAAATTTAAGGGGTAACAGGGGGCCCTTAAATACTAGCGGCCGGCGAAGCGGCA